CACGATTCCTCCCACTGACACCAAAGATGGGGCACTATTCCTCCCACTGATACCAATGATGGGGCACAATTCCTCCTGACACCAATGATGGGGCACTATTCCTGCCACTGATACCAATGATGGGGCACGATTCCTCCCACTGACACCAATGATGGGGCACTATTCCTGCCACTGATACCAATGATGGGGCACGATTCCTTCCACTGACACCAATGAAGGGGTGCTATTCCTCCCACTGACACCAAAGACGGGGCACGATTCCTCCCACTGACACCAAAGATGGGGCACGATTCCTCCCACTGACACCAAAGATAGGGCACTATTCCCCCCCACTGATACCAATGATGGGGGTACTATTCCTCCCACTGATACCAATTATGGGGCACTATTCCTGCCACTGATACCAATGATGGGGAACTATTCCTCCCACTGACACCAATGATGGGGTGCTATTCCTCCCACTGACACCAATGAAGGGGCACAATTCCTCGCTCTGACACCAATGATGGGGCACTGTTCTCCCACTGATACCAATGATGGGGCACTATTCCTCCCACTGACACCAATGATGGGGCACTATTTCTCCCACTGACACTAATGATGGGACACTATTCCTCACACACTGACACACTACATAATGATGGGGCACCATCATTGGTGTCAGTGGGAGGAATAGTGCCCCATCATTGGTGTCAGTGGGAGGAATAGTGCCCCATCATTGGTGTCAGTGGGAGGAATCGTGCCCCATCATTGCTGTCAGTGGGAGGAATAGCACCCCATCAATGGAATACCATACTGAAATACCATACCATATTGAAATCAAGTCTGATGTTTTTTAATTTTTATTTGGTGTGTGTTGGAAGAGGGGTAGTCTTATACAGAGAGTATAGCCCAAACCCTATATTTTAACAGGAAAAGTAGGGGGTCGTCTTATACAACCAGTCGTCTTATATGCCGGAAAATACGGGATATCGGTGAGTCTTGCTGTGTAAAAAACCTTGTTTCTGTGTATGGTTAACAGTAGTAAAAATATATATTGCTGCTAAGGTAGGTACCACATTCCAAATATCTGCATTGAAAAAACAAGCAAGAAGAGAGACTTTACTGGTACTAAGGGAAGACACAATTATTGTAAAATTCTGGCAACTTTATTTACAACACATTAAAAAGACAATAAAAAAATGGGGACTAGATAATTCCCCTTATTTGCATACAATTTAATCTTCCAACAACAAATGACATGAATAATTTATACATACAAGCAGGAAATACAGACATACTGCTTCCCCAGGACCATCCATATGCTTTTAAGGAAAAATGATCTAACTAAAGAAACACACATATATATATAATATATATATATATACTGTAAATATATATATATATATATATATATATACACTGTATATATATATATATTGTAAAATATCGTATTGTCTCGATATTTTCTTAACTTGTATTGATGAGAAATGTGCAGATAGAAAGTCCTTCCACTTCTTGTATAAACTCAAAAGATGATTTAATAATTCATTGTATAAAATACTAAAAAAGATGATTTAATAATAACATTACATAAAATTAGAAATAAAATATTGGCATACAGAATGTTTAAATAATGTCCAAAAAATATAGTTAAGTTCTTGATAATAAGATTGTATATATGTATATGTGTGTGTATATGTGTGTATGTCTGTCGCATCAAGGCTGCTATATAGTGAGTGAAAACTCAAACCTTTGTTCTACTCTTAAAAGAGCAATCCAGCCCCCACCTTTCCTAAAAGTGGGTTGGTATTCTCTTGTAGTCCCACTAAGATAATTGACACCAACAGGAGGTATTAAAACAAAAATCCAATCTACTTCTCTCAAAGTCTGAGTGTAACTTTATCTCTTACATAGATGGGGGAGGATGGGGGAAGGTATAGTTAATTGCTCTCATATGTGGCTTGAATGTAAAGGAAAAACCCAAGATATATGTACATATGTATATTCACAGACTATGAAGTCTAATTCCTTACTTTTCCCAATCTAGAACAAATATAAATATAATAACTCAATTATTCTATTAAGATCCAACTCATTCATACTTTTGTTAGTACTGTTAATAAGAATATATTAGATATTAGGTTATGGAAAGCTTCTAACATATATATATATATATATATATATATATATATATATATATATATATATAAAGTTTGTGCTGGAGTGCACCAGTGCACCAGTGCTACGTACTGGCACCTCCTGTCCTAGTTCCGTATTTATTGCTTCACTTCCTATAGGGCTATAAGCATCCTATTCCTCGCTTAGCAATACTCAATATCAGAGTCTGCCAAAAGAAGTGTCCAGGATTCTGTGGGAATGTCTGGGATTTCTAAACCTGTCCTGTAGTGTCCATGTCCCACAGGACCCATGACACTTGAACTTTGCAGAGTGGCAGTGGAGTGACAGGAGCCAGAATGCTCTTTGTGCTTCAGCATGTGGCACTGAGATACTAGCACTTTTAAAGGAGTGATCTTCGCTCAACTGCTCAATTATAGTTCCAGCCCAATGTCAGGGACAGTGATGTGGGAGCAAGTGGTCAGGTAAGGTAACACTAAACACCAATGATCAGGGGAGTGTATGTTTCACTGGCCACCAATGTAAGGGGGTACATTTTACTGCCACTGACCAACAATCGAGGAGGTTAAATATCACTGCCATTGACCACCAATGCATGCACCAATCGAGTTAAATTTCACTGACCCTTACCTCCAATGATGGAGTTACCATCCACCAGTCCACCAATGCAGGAGTTAAATAGTAATGACCAGTGGCGGACTGACAACTCATGGGGCCCCCGGGCAATAGGGGATCATGTGGCCCCTGTGTCCTCGTCCACACTCAAACCACACCCAAAAAAGCCTATGAAAGATACCAGGTGCATCTCATGGGGCCCCCTACTGACCCTGGGCCCTTGGGCAGTGCCCGAGTTTCCAAATGGTCAGTCCGCCCCTGGTAATAACACCAGTGCTAAGGGTTTTTATTGTGACCACTGACACTAATGTTGGAAGTTGCTATTATTCCTACTGGCATCAATGCTGGTGGTAATTATCGCTTTCACTGACACCGACAATAGGGCAAAGAATAAAGCTGCAACACTCTAAGGACATACGCTGTGAAGCGACATGGACTTGGTTGATCACACTCACATTTTGCTTTGACCATAGGTATTCAGGGAGGGGGTAAACACTGGGACCTGATCTATGTGGTGAGTAACATGCAACAATATACTGTATTAACCAAATAAACAGGCATACTGTTCTGGGCAATAATAATGAAAATTTACAGATAGGTAACTCCTACCCTTATATTGATTGGTGGTTCCAAATTATAAAATAAACCACTGCAGTAGGGAACAGAAACAAAAAGGATCACTGTTGTGTTTGTTTGGCGCATTTGAAGTTTTTTTATACACATGATTACGTAGGTATCACATTAATATTACAATTGTACTTTTATGGTAACAAGGGGTGTTACATAGGCAGGCTAAATTCTAATCAGGACTTAAAAGAATGCAAACATGTAATGAAAACATTATTAGTGTTGAGTGCGCAGTGAGCAAAGTACAAACTAAAATACAATTTTATATACAGAATTTACTAATTTCCTTTACAATACCAAGAACAAATTGATAATCCAATTTTAATATGATTCATATTAAAATTTCAAAGCAAATTGTAAAAAATCAATGCTTGTGAGAAAACTCATTATGTATTAGGTACCCTACAGTGACTCTTGGCAACTAATCAGGTATTATTCTCTTAAACTACTAATTAGTTGGTACCAGTTATGGCACTTTGCATATCTTCTTTGCTCTGCCCCGACTGAATGATTCTTAATGCATTTTACTGTATCTCTGTTTAAACCCAATTCTGCTTGCAAACCAGGGCACAAGTACTGTAGGATGATTCACATAATGGATTTTGTATTTTGTATTTCATTGAGACTAGTGACAGGACTCGGGCTATTCCACCAAAATATTTTGAACTTGATCTAACTTTTTGATTTCAGATCAAATTTGGCACCATCCAATACTGATCTGCACACCACAATTTAAAGCTACCTGCAATAAGCATGAAGCTTTAAAAGAAAAGAAAAGTTGCTCCGCGCACTGACCTTATCATGTAGACAATAACTTTGAGACATACAGTAGCATTGTCATATAGACAATAGGTTCAATTCACAAAGCTTTAACACTAAAGTAAAGATCTTTATTTTCAGCCATGTGGCTTTTATTTTCAAATCTGTTGGCTCCCGGCTTAAAATATCTGTCATTTTCTAATGATCATTGTCCTGGTGCGATAGCTGAACCTAAAGTCTTGGTCCCCAAAACTTTCAATGCTGACTGCAGCTCCACATAACTTCAAGAATGCATATATATTTACATGCAAAGATATTCCACTATGCTATACAGTCCAAAGAGACTAGTTTCTTGACAGCTTAGTGTAGTGGAATGCATTTCTAAGTTAACAAATGCATTCCTAAAAGATTAAAAATGTGAAAATAAAAATGTAAATAAATAAATCTGTACACCAAAAAGTGAAAAAACAACCCAAAAGGATAATGCAAACTTTTGAATTTCTTTTAAATCAGTTGCTCATCACTGAGACCTGCCAACTGGGAAATGTATGTCTTTGCCCCTCTCATAAAGTTGTTCTGATTTCCCAATTCACTGTTTAATCTACATCATACAAAATTTTCCAGGGAAGTTTGACACAATGATCTGGCTTTGTAATGGCTGTGGCCTTTCAAGAGATTTGGGAATTCTGGTGGAATTCTCACTGTAGTTTCTAAAAGATGCCAGCAACAATCACAAAACTGAAATAACGGTTTTAACTGAAGTTCCTCCTTTAAGCAATGCTTACACTAAGTTCCATTCTGTGTTTTACCCTGCAGGCTTTTTCAGAAGAAGTATTACTAAAAATGCTGTTTACAAATGTAAGAATGGCGGTAACTGTGAAATGGACATGTACATGAGGAGGAAATGCCAAGAATGTCGCCTAAGGAAGTGTAAACAGATGGGCATGCTTGCTGAATGTAAGTGTTTTCATGGATTGTCCACTGTTTTCATTCAAGCCTCTACTCCTATATGACTTGTTCACACCAGCAGCATTGCTGTCAAACATATTTCCAACGCAAGGCCAAGACAAGTTCTATGGCTTCAGTTGACACCAACACACTGCATTGGTGGGGTGAAAAAAATAGGACATTTTCGCTTAAGAAAACAAGCCCTGCAATTCGTTCCAAGAATAATCATTTTCTCACCTATTTATCATAGCAGTATGTTTACATTAGATAAATTAATCAAAGTACAGTTTTAATCTAGGTGGCAGGGGGAGGGAACAGAGGAGGCAATAGCTAGCAAAGGTCTGAGGGTTCTATAACCATAATACCTAAACCCTGGGTGAGTGGACTGGCAAAACATATCACAGCCACAGAAAACTAAAAAGGTGCAAAACTAAGAGGTGTGTACACAAATGCTAGAAGCCTAGCTAACAAAATAGAAGAACTTGGGCTGCTGATACACAGAAGAATTTTGACTTTGTGGGAATATCATAAACTTGGTTTGATAGCTCACATGAGTGGTCAGCATCTATCCAGGGATATTGCTTGTATTGGAAGGACAGGGAGGGTAGAAGGGGGGAAGGGTGTGCCTGTATATCAAAAATGATATGCTAGTGAACGTGAGGGACAACATTTCAAATGGGGCACGGGGAAGGTGGAATCTCTGTGAGTGGAACTTCAAAGGAAAGAAACAAGGGGGAAAATAATAATGGGGGTATGATACAAGCCCCCTAATCTGAAGGATGATGAGGAGTTGGATCTCCTATCACAGTTATCATTATGGGGGACTTCAGCTATCCAGATATTGACTGGGCAGGGGGAAGGGCTCACACATTTAAGGCACGTCATTTCTTAAATGTCATACAGGACAGCTTCCTGTGCCAATTGGTGGATTCCCCGACTAGAAAGAATGCGTTGCTAGATCTTTTAATTACAAATAACACAGATCTGGTCGAAGATATGAAGATATGGGACAACTTGGGAATCAGCGCCCACAGGATAATTACATTCAACATAAATTATAGGAAAAGGAGGCACATGGGTAGTACAAAAACACTAAACTTCAAAAGAGCCAACTTTTATAAACTGCGCTCAGTACTACAAGATATTAAATGGGACTGAATCCTTAAAACATTGAGCATGGAGAAAAAAATGGGAATACTTTAGGAACATATTAAATAACGGTATTATCCAGTGTATTCCAATGGGCAATAAATATAAAAGAGCAAAGGTTAAACCTGGGTGGCTGAACTAATGTAAAAAGTCATATTAAAGATAAAAAAATGGCCTTCAAGGAAGATAAGGCCGAGGGGTCATTGTCAGCATTCCAACACTACAAGGAATGCAATAAAAAGTATAAGAACATAATCAGGGCAGCTAAAATAGGCTACAAGAGACACATAGTGGAGGAGAGTAAAAAAAATCCAAATAAATGTAAAAAATATATAAACAGTAAAAATACTAGGTCAGAATGTATTGGCCTCATAAAGGATGAGGAAGGGAAGTTGGTTACAAATGACAAGGAGAAGGTGACTGTACTAAATGCATTCTTCTCCTCAGATTTTACAAAGGAAAATGAGGGGTATTGTGATCAAGACTGTGTTATTAGTAATGCACCACAGAATGTACCCTTGTGGCTAACAGAAGCCAGTATCCAGAAGAGACTAGAAAATCTTAACACAAGTAAATCACCAGGACCGGATGGCTTACACCCAAAAGTCCTCAAAAAACTAAGTCTGGTTATAGCCAGGCCACTATACCTAATCTTTATGGACAGCATACTGACAGAAAGAGTACCAGCTGACTGTCAAAGGACCAATATGATACAAATATTCAAAAAAGGGCAGAGATATATACCTGGGAACTACAGGCCAGTCAGTTTAACATCAATTATATGTAAACTATGAGAGGGGATAATAAGGAATTTCTTTGCCGAAGAAAACAAACTGAGGTCTGTAGGCATGGACCATAAGGTTTGTTCATGGATAGAAAACTGGTTACAGGGGCGCCTCCAAAGTGTGGTGATAAATAACGTGTACTCAGACTGATCTGAAGTGGTAAGTGGGGTACCCCAAGACTCTCTCCTGGGACCAATTCTGTTTAATGTTTTCAGAAATGATATAGAGGTTGGTGTAAATAGCTCAATCTCAGTGTTTGCAGACAATACAAAGCTAAGTAGGGCAATAACTTCACAGCAAGATATAGAATCCTTACAAGAAGACCTTGATAAAATAATTGAGTGAGTAACTGCACAGCAAATGATATTTAATGTTAAAAAATGTAAAGTAATGCACTTGGGGGGTAAAAATATAAACACAAAGTTACTCGCTAGGGGATAATCTTTCAGGGAATCCAGGATGGAAAAAGTTCTGGGGTTTCTAGTAGATTTCAGGCTCAGCAATGCCAAGCTGCAGTAAACAAAGCGAGCAGTATATTAGCATGCATTAAAAAGGGAACTTACTCAAAAGATAAAAAACTATAATCCTAACACTGTAAAAAGCTCTGGTTCGGTCACATCTGGAGTATGCTGTCAAGTTCTGGTCACCAATCCTCAGGAAGGATGTGCTGGAAATTGAAAAAGTCCAAAGAAGGGCAACAAAGTTAATAGGGGGACTGGGGGACCTCAGTTACAAGGAATGACTACAAATTTTATACTTATTCTCCCTGGAGAAGAAATGCTTGAGAGGAGATATGATAACGATCTACAAATACCTCAATGGTGATTTTAGCAGAGAGAATAAATTATTCAGTCTCAAAGAGTGTAAGAAGACACGGGGCTACTCAATGAAATTGGAGGAGAAGCGGTTTAACCTTAAACTGTAGGGAGTTTTTCACTGTCAGGGCGATAAGGATGTGGAACTCACTTCCACATTTGGTGGTGTCAGCAGGAAGTATTGATAGTTTAAAAAAAAACTCTGCTACAGGTATCTTAATGAATACAGTATACAGGGATACGGGAAATTATTATTTTACATGAACACCCACACAGGTTTACCTTGATGGACTGGCGTAACTATAACTAGGTATACAGAGTAAAAACCAAAATACCATTTCTGGTCAGTAATAATGTTATCATGGATAAAATTTTTGTTTTGTGTGTAAAAACATGCCATGGACTGATCTAACTATCCTGGTAATGCTGTGATAAAAAAAAAATAGCATGGTAATGGAGATATTTTCATTTAATTTTTTTGCCCCATGATGGATATTTAATGATAGCTGCATGCTCCAGCCTAAAATGGCCCAAACAAATCTCATGGTGGTTGTGGTTTAATAGGAACAAAAATATCCTCTCTCCTTCACCCACCTCTCTAACACATAATGTGTGTGTTCCTCCAACATGAGCATATATGCTTACTTAATGTTCTGCAGTCCTTAGCTTGAGGATATCCAGATCATGACTGGATTTCTGACCATCTTCTAGACCAGGGATCTCCAAATTTTTCTGTATGATGTCCATATTGTATATTTTACAATTATTTGTAGGCCAAGTATTTGTAAATGAAATGAATGAAAAAGACTGGTCATATATGGATCTACTGTAAGTTCGAATTTTGATCCATCTATAGCCATTCCCATTTGTGAGAAGTTGATCTAATGATCGACTTCTCATGAATGGACCTGTTGGAAATTTTTTGTTCGATAAGCGATGCAACCAATTGGATGCAGAACTGATCAGTGTATTCTGATAGCAGAGGAGCCCCCTGTTGTCTGAATACATTTGCACGGCAGGGAGTATTCCTTTAATAACCTCAGTGGCCAGAATCTGTTCATTTTTTTTTTTATCATCTCACTGGCTGATCAAAAAAACTGACCTACAGTCAGGTCCATAAATATTGGGACATCAACACAATTCTAACATTTTTGGCTCTATACACCACCACAATGGATTTGAAATGAAACGAACAAGATGTGCTTTAACTGCAGAATGTCAGCTTTAATTTGAGGGTATTTACATCAAATCAGGTGAACGGTGTAGGAATTACAACAGTTTGCATATGTGCCTCCCACTTGTTAAGGGACCAAAAGTAATGGGACAATTAGCTTCTCAGCTGTTCCATGGCCAGGTGTGTGTTATTCCCTCATTATCCCAATTACAATGAGCAGATAAAGGGTCCAGAGTTCATTTCAAGTGTGCTATTTGCATTTGGAATCTGTTGCTGTCAACTCTCAAGATGAGATCCAAAGAGCTGTCACTATCAGTGAAGCAAACCATCATTAGGCTGAAAAAAACAAAACAAACCCATCAGAGAGATAGCAAAAACATTAGGCATGGCCAAAACAACTGTTTGGAACATTCTTGAAAAGAAGGAACGCACCGGTGAGCTCAGCAACACCAAAAGACCCGGAAGACCATGGAAAACAACTGTGGTGGATGACCGAAGAATTCTTTCCCTGATGAAGAAAACACCCTTCACAACAGTTGGCCAGATCAAGAACACTCTCCAGGAGGTAGGTGTATGTGTGTCAAAGTCAACAATCAAGAGAAGACTTCACCAGAGTGAATACAGAGGGTTCACCACAAGATGTAAACCATTGGTGAGCCTCAAAAACAGGAAGGCCAGGTTAGAGTTTGCCAACGACATCTAAAAAAGCCTTCACAGTTCTGGAACAACATCCTATGGACAGATGAGACCAAGATCAACTTGTACCAGAGTGATGGGAAGAGAAGAGTATGGAGAAGGAAAGGAACTGTTCATGATCCTAAGCATACCACCTCATCAGTGAAGCATGGTGGTGGTAGTGTCATGGCGTGGGCATGTATGGCTGCCAATGGAACTGGTTCTCTTGTATTTATTGATGATGTGGCTGCTGACAAAAGCAGCAGGATGAATTCTGAAGTGTTTCGGGCAATATTATCTGCTCATATTCAGCCAAATGCTTCAGAACTCATTGGACGCCGCTTCACAGTGCAGATGGACAATGACCCAAAGCATACTGCAAAAGCAACCAAAGAGTTTCTAAGGGAAAGAAGTGGAATGTTATGCAATGGCCAAGTCAATCACCTGACCTGAATCCGATTGAGCATGCATTTCACTTGCTGAAAACAAAACCGAAGGAAAATGCCGCAAGAACAAGCAGGAACTGAAGACAGTTGCAATAGAGGCCTGGCAGAGCATCACCAGGGATGAAACCCAGCATCTGGTGATGTCTATGCGTTCCAGACTTCAGGCTGTAATTGACTGCAAAGGATTCGCAACCAAGTATTAAAAAGTGAAAGTTTGATTTATGATTATTATTCTGTCCCATTACTTTTGGTCCCTTAACAAGCGGGAGGCACATATGCAAACTGTTGTAATTCCTACACCATTCACCTGATTGGGATGTAAACACCCTCAAATTCAAGCTGACAGTCTGCAGTTAAAGCACATCTTGTTCGTTTCATTTCAAATCCATTGTGGTGGTGTATAGAGCCAAAAATGTTAGAATTGTGTCGATGTCCCAATATTTATGGACCTGACTGTATGTATTGCCAGCTTAAGATGTACTTGGAGATTTTTTTGTAATCAGCTTGATATGATTCGAAATAACAGGGAATTAACTTTAATTGAATAAAGCAAAGAAGTTCTAAATAAAGTTGAGCCCTTCAGATTTCCCTTTTAAATCTGAGTTCTTACCAAAGTGTGCCTGTACACCGATGCTACAATAATAGCTCAGTTTGGGGAACCTGCACTGGAGACTGAAAGGGGGAATTGTAGATATTGGGGTGAAACAGAGACCATAGGTTGACCTGAAGACCTGTGTGAGAGGCCACTGACCCTAGCTGAGGGCCAGATAATATCTTGCAGTAGTTTGAATTCGGCCCATAGGATGTAGTTTGGAGATGCTTGCTGTAGACTAAACAACATAGGCAGTTTTATGCATTTCCAAAATGTCATAAAGAATATTTATCATATAAAAGGATAGTGTATGTAGGCAGGTGCAGTCTCTTTTCTCTACTGCAGGTGGTGCTCAACCACAATGGCAATGCAAAAGGAGAGGAAGTCCAGGAGGTTTCCTGTACCACTGGGGAAGCAACCTGGTTGGATGCTGCCACCCCATGTGACTCTGGTGGCCATCTTGGGTCAGGAAGAGTCTATTTAGGACCCTGGGTCCTGGGCTTGGAGTGTATTTTGCAAGTGGACAGTGTAAGGGCAGGTTACCCATCTGTCAGGGAAAGTGAATAGGGGTAGCGAAGGCTTCCAGATGAGTAGGGACCGGATAAGGACATGCTGTCCTTTCCAGGAATCCTCCCAGTCCTGGCCAGGCCATATATGAAGCTGTTGGCACATCACGACCTGCACTGCATTACTGTTCAGAACTGTGAATGTTCTCAGCTGAGTGTCTTCCTGCTGGACTATTTGTATCTTTGGGCTATGACTTCAATACAAGTTATGTTATTTGCATTGGACTCTGTATTTACTTCCGCCACACCATGCTGCACACATCCACATGTATGTATGTTAAGGAAAGAGTTGTCATCACAGAAAAAAACTTGGAAAAAATCTCTGATTTGGACATCAAGGTCTATGGTAACCCTCTAAGATGGAAATTCTATTCACTTTGGAGAGATTTTCCCCCATTTTTTTTTCTCTCTAGGCCAGTAAGTAAAGAGAAATATCCCCATCAGGACACAGACAACAAAAAACAACCCAGTATAAATTTTTATTTTACCTTAACCTATTCTTAATAAGTTTGTGGGCTGTACACAAACTTTAACACCCAACTGAACCTTCAGTATAAATCAGCTAAAGAAATTTAAGGTGCATCAAAACAATTATTTGTCTTACAGTTTTTTGTATTTCTAAAGCAGTCACAGCCAGAGAAGAAAAGCCTGTGCCTTGCCAGATGCAGAGTGGAAAGCTTGTTCTCTGTGTGCTCTGTCTGTAGAGGTTTGACATGCTTCCTACCAATTCAGAGCTCTAGTTCTGCAATCAGCAAAGCTAATGTTTCCCATTGATTGGAGATCTCTGGCTCTGATACAAGGGGAATATTGGACCTCAGCAAAGAGATCACTACTTCCACACTGGGAGCATGGATTCCACTCTGCAGTATGTTAGCAAGGGACAGGCTTTTTTTACTTGGGCTTTGTTTTTTTTTAAAAAGATGACTGTGCACACCTTTCATTTTGATGCACCTGGAATGTAGTTATCTAATTTAACCGCTTCCCGTCGACCTGGCACATATTTGCAACCTCTTGGTGGGTGGGTTTTAACATCGAGTGGCTGTATATATGCAGCCCTAGGTTAACACTTTACTGTGCTGAGAGCATGCTCCCAGCACAGTAGCAAGTGGGTACCGGAAAGCTCCTGATACTTGAGATCAGGAGCTTTCCAATCATGTGTGACCACTATGACTGCCATTCACGGCTGTACAGTAATCGGAATGCCCGCCTTCACCTCTGGGGCATTTAGATCTTCTTATAGGACCGGGAGACGATGGTGGAAAGAGTTAAATTGAAAGGTTATTTGGTCTATAGTTGGATTGGCTAAAAATGTTATATATGTAGACCTTCCTGAATATCTCCCAACATCTCCTGGTTATCAGAGGTGGATTTTTTAGATTGATAATTGTACCTTTGAGGTTGAGCTAAGCTAACAATGCATTTCAGAATAAATGGCACCACGCTACAATGCCAAGTGGAAACCCAAACTAAATAATGATACTTTTGTTGAAAAAAATGTTATGTGTGTTATATTATTTGAGGTCAGCATCTTAGCACCACAAAAAAATAATCTGAAATATAAGACAAAGACAAAAGGGCCTATCACAAATATTGTTCTAATTGTGGTAACCTTTTATCATTGCAGGCTTGCTAACAGAAATTCAATGTAAGTCAAAAAGACTTGTACGAAAAAACATAAAACTCTCCTCCGAAAAATCCTTCGAAGAAGAATATGAAGGACTTGAATTAAAGCAAGTGACATCTACCACAAAAACAAACAGGGTGGGTGATCTTGCACCAAAATTCTGTCTGTGGTTGGCATTATCAGTAGGGATAAATCGAAGGGTAGATTAGAAGTGGTTATTATACTACCATTCTACCCTGTAGAATCCAGAATTTGAATACTTTGATCAGGGTTAGAGTTGTGATAATTATGTGTATATACATGCTAAGACTTGTGAATAGTTTCAGATGGATATTGGGTGTAAGTTAACAATCAAACTGATAATTTTTCATCTCCAACACACACATACAAGCATATCTGTTTGTACATGATAATATGAAAACACCATGAAATGTGATTATTTTCTTAGAATAACTCTCTGCCAAAGGTGTCTACAGGAATCAAGGTACCCAGTTTGATACTATGGTTGTATTGATCTAACAATGGACAAACTGTATTCTAATGTATATGGGTACCTTAAACTAACTGTGTTGCTAAAATAAATATAGCCAAAATGTTGCAAAGAAGTTAATAAATATGTACTTCTACTGTTGCCTGTGCTGGTGGTTGCTTCTGTATCTCAGAGAATTTAGACACTTTTCTTACAGTAGTGATCTGTGAAAATTGTAGTGGTATAATATCTTTCTTGCAGGGGGAACATGTTTTGGCTATTGGTTATTTTAGAGACTGAATCACTCTAGAGTACACCTGTCAAAAAAACAAAGAATAAAATGGCTATAGGATGAACATGGAGGTCCCTAGTGGTTTATGCACTTTTAAGATGTCTTCTGAAATATTCCTGGAGTCTTGAATCCTGTTAAAGGATTTACAATTCTGCTCAGCCAATGTTATGACTATTATAAGTGACTTTACTGGATAACAGGCAGAAATAAAAATAAAAAACACTATGGGGTCTATTTATAAATGTTTTTACCCAAGATTCACAAACATTTCCATTTGAATTCAATGTAGCCCCCTCCTAGTTTAGATAGGGGGAACAAGAGTCTTGATTGTTGGTAAGGAAGGCTGAGTAATAGCCTGGGTCTAATAGCCAGAAGGTCAAATCTTGGTAAGGATCTGAGAGGCTCTGCAGGCCAGCCCCTCCAGAATTTGCTCCTGCTATAGGGATTTTGGAGAAAGGCCTTAGAGGCAGTGGGTGGATCTGAAGAGTGGCTGGCTGCACTCTTGAGGGGTCCTAGCCAATCCCCAAGAGGAGGTTGGCAAGGGACTGGACACCCTTAAAAGTGTTAGAGCCTGTTCAGCAGCAGGAGAGTTGAAGGGAGAGTTCAGGTGGAAGATAGAGAGGAAGATGTGAGGCTGAAGGAAGAGGGCTGCAAGGAGGCCCAGTGGGATGGGGCCTACCTGCAGGCCTGGAGCTGGAAAGGAGGAAAGCTCAGAACTCACCGACCCCCCTGAGAGAAGACCACCTGTATGGCAGGTAAGGAGAAGATGATGGCCTAGTAGCAGTGACCAACCCACAAGTGGTACAGGAGAGAATCTGAATGAATCCACCTACACCCCCTGGTGGGAAACCAGATTAGCCACCTACCAGTGACTGTTCAACTCTTAAAGTGACAGGAACCAGATCCCCTGTTCAGGGATACCTCCAGATTGCTGGGTAAAGAGGAGAAGTGCACCTAGGGACACTGGCTAGCTCTCCAAAAGAGACAGTGCTACAGAGAAGGCTTGTAAATAGTTCCAGGAAGTTGTCCTCATTTTATCAGATTCCTTGGGCATCCTGTACACCCCCAACCTACCAGTTCAATTCCCCAAAATAAACAACAAAATCAAAGCTCAAGGACTGATTTCTGACTCTGGATGCAAGCTTTTTTGAAGATGTGTGATGCCTGGCTGTGCAGGACTATAGGGGGATCCAAATCTTTTAGCAACTAAAGGGGTAGTGCTACATCAGTTAGAAAGATGTGTAAAGCTTGGATGAAAGCTGAGTGTATCTTGGGTGACAATATTTTTAAATATACCCCTATGTAATCCAAACAATGTACTAATTGAATATCATTGAAAAGCCATTTACAGCTATCATAGCTATGCGAATCTGTCTTGATATCAGTTGAGTGTTATCCTTTGTACAAAAGCACTCAAACTAGAGGAGGAAAGTCAGTGAAGCAATGTTGCACTGCATAGTGCTGTCAGTCTAAAGCTGGATATAAACTGATCAAAATTCAGTCCTGGACAAAGTTGAACTGCTTAGCGGCAGCATAGAAAGCAGGGAATTCCAGAATCCAGCTGTGCTGTCTGGCAGGGGTAGCTGGTCCACAGGTCTAGCTGAATACAATTCTAAATGCTATTCATTAAAAACAGTATATCTACTATGTGTATTTGAGCTGTGTATTAGCAGTTTGGCTGCAGTTCAGCTATAATGTGTTCTTGCTAGATGAACATCACACTGACTCAGCCAAGGCAATAAAAGCAAAGGATACAGTAAAACAGACACATACTCCGTAGTTTTAGCTCTATTGCATTCTCACTGAATGTACGTCACACAGACAATAAAACCAGAGAAGTCATCAAAACAGACACATGACATCTCCATATGATTGTTATAGTAATGAACAAAAAGCATACGTTCCTGTTCCTGGTCTATTGTTTATTTTCCACAAATGACAAGCTAATGGAGTTCAATAAAATGGTGTTCATGATGCTTAAGTCAATAGTAAATAGCACATGTGACTTGGTTAGCAGTGGTTAGAAAAAGGCATTTAAATAAAAGTCAATCATTGTATATGGCTTTGTTACATGCTATGGAAAATGTTGTTTATTCACTATACACTAATCAGTAACTAGCCAATGCTTCTGTCTTACTGCAATGACTGGACAGAAAGCCTGTGCAATAATTAGAAAAATGATGAAAATTATGAAATTACCAAAGAGAGGCATTATTAAAAATACTCAAAACTAAGAAGTTTGGAGTTGTATTCACATTTGCTAGAAACCACTGTACAGCTTACTATTCTCTATTATGAGTCCGTTTGGGATTACTGGAGGCTATTTGTCCTTACGTCAATAAGATGGAAATCACAAACAGGATGCATACAAATTTTATTCATTAATTCAGATAATTTCATTTGTAAACAGAGGCTGTTGCACAATTTAAACTTTACAAATTGCTTTTCAACTTATTTTGTGTGTTTTAATATATATATATATACACACACATATATTGAGAACAGCATCATGTCCAGTAAAAAAACTTTTAAAAAATCTAATTTTATTCATAAATGTAGACCAAAATGTATTCTGCTACATGCCTTCGCTAAAAAAAAAAAAGTTATAGCGTTTACAAATGGCGGTATTTACTGTATACTGGGATTTTTTTTTAATTTTACTAGTAATGGCGGCAATCTCGACTTACAGTGGGACTGTGGCGGGCATTCTGTCACTGGGGGTAATTGACTTGGTGTCACTGACATCCCCAGTGAACCAATACAGTGATCTGTGCTAAAAAGAAAGCACTGACACTGTACTAATGGCACTGGGCAGAAAGGGGTTAAACATGAGGGGCGATCAAATTGGTTAACTGTGTGCTGCTTTGCTATGGGGCTGTGTTTGTGTTCTTCACTGTAAGCACACTGCTTTGCATGGCTGTGCTGTGCACAGCCATGGCAAAGTAGTGTGCACGAGTTGACAGGAGGGAGAACTGTTTTGTTTACAAACAGTTCTCTTCCCCATTAGAAATGATCGGCAATCACCAAGCTCCAGCGAGTATCGCTGGCTGGGACCTGGTGATTGACAGCCGCAACGCAAATGGCAGCGCAAGCACGCCCCTACCCAGAAATGCAAAATCATGTATATATATGTGAATTTGTGCACCCGTGCCACCCTGTAGCAGTATTTATGCTATTAGGGCGGCCAGTAAGCGGTTAAAGCACCACCGCCACTTGCTGTCTTGTTTTAAGGGTTTCTGTATATCTCTTGCGAGCCAAAGTAGTATGTGGGCAAAATAACCACACTTGTGGCACAACTCGGGACAAAATATATGTCCTTGATATTACTGGATCGCAAACACCCAACACATAACTACCCTGTGTACACAAATTTATTTCATCATCTTGTGGTTGCGCTCCTTATTAAATTATAGTGACAAAGTGAATATTATATTTCATAATATTACTGAACATAAATAATGCATAAACTCATATATAGAATAATAACTTATAAAAAAAGTATAATATTAATCCATATTCGTGATTAAATTATAAATAATGATTAATGTGAATCATAATTTAGTGAAAAAAATATAAAAAAATTTACCGTGAATAAATACTCATAAATAAATTAATTTTTAGTGCAAAAGCATAGTCCATTAATCATAAAAATATATATAAGTGACTCTGAGTGTCCTAAAAATCTTGAATCCGTGACTGACTTGTTGAATCCTCGTGATAAAAATATTTGTGAATTCCTCCAATTAGTGCAGATGTAAGCTACCTCCTGATTATGCTGCAATTAGGCTATATACACTTTTGGTCCACCTCCTTTGGGACCTGCTTGTTAGAAATTTTCTCCACTTTAAGATTACGGAGCAGGAATATCCTTTAGTGCTGATTAAGCTCTCTTGGGTATTGGGGTTATCACTCCTCCCAGTGATACAGACCCTCTAAGTTATTATTCTATATATGAATTTATGATTATTTATGTTCAGGTAATATTATGAAATATAATATTCACTTTGTCACTATTAATTTAATAAGGAGCGCAACACAAGATGATGAAATAAATTGTTTTTAAGGGATGTTTTTGCCCCAATTCTATTAAAGAAAGTTCCATAATCTAACACCATAGATTTCCCTCACAGGGGTTTTCAGCATTTCACTCTTCCAAACACAGACTTTTTAGCCTCCTGGCTTTTACATACTGCTCTGGTTTCCACTTCAGGCTCACATGTCACCTGCAGACTCTTTTCTAAACGGCTCTTTCAGGCACACAACTAGCAGCCCCTTGCTTGCTATGGCTCTCACCTCTCCTAGGTGGAGATCTCCTGGATCTCTGCAACGACATCCGATCTGCTGGGGTGGAGCCAGAACCAGTAGTTAGGCCTCTA